TGAGAAAAAACAACGGGAGCATCAGTTGTGAAGGTGCGGTGAACTGAGCTCCCGGTTATTTCACCCGTGGGAGAAGTGAGGGCTCAGGCTACACAGCTAACAAGCAGACAACATCAGAAGGATATTGAAAACTGGACTTGTTATCAACTAGATGATTAAAAAGGAAACAAAACTTCCAGAATCGCGCTGCAGGGATGAAAAACATCATTCCTTGATGTGAGAAATGGCCTCCGAAGCCAAAGAGATGCAGCAGTATATAAATTCCATTCACATATATTGGATTCATTGGTTGTGACACCACAGACATGATTCATAATAAACACAAACAGAACACAGTGGCTACATCCCTGTTTCTCTTTGCTGGTGCTGTGACAAGAACGGCTATGTGTCTGTAGTGCTGGAAGGTATTCATTTGTTTTTCTATTTTGAGCTGTTACACTAATTTAAAAGCACAGTAGAAGTCAGCACCGCACAACACAGCCGTGTTTCAAAAAACCTCAACGGAGACCTTCAACATATGCAGTTCCTCCATATCTGGCCAGTTTCTGTATGGCCTTTTTCCTCAAATGCTGCCCGTCGCCCGCGGCAGTCGGGGGAAAACCGCAGTGCTTCTCAGTCAGAGCTGCCAGAGAAAATATTATGCTGTAATTCCATATTCCTTACTTTCTCTGCAAATCATCACTTATCATGTCCCAGAGAGACCCTCCGGATGTTTTTGCTTTAAAAAAGAGATAATGTTTATGGTGTCATTCGCTTAAATCTTAAATCTTAAATGTTCAACCACATGGTTCTACTGTCTTCATATCAAAACAGGACTGACAAGAGAATATCGTCAGAATGACAATAAGGAGATGAATTACAAGAAAAATTTATATCAAAAGGAAAGTTCAGATTGGTTGAAATATAACAATGGCATGTGTACCACTGGAGGATTAAGGAAAACCTTTCTGGTTTTAGTGAACAGACGTGTTTCTTTCTGTCACTGTGCAGGTATTAAATCGGTGTCAAATCCGAGAGAGACGACAGACAATTCCCAAAATCTCACGCAGCACCTTTGATTTTCAGATTAATTGAGCTGACTCGCCATCAGGGAAGTGGCACACTTCAACTTGTCTCCTCTGCTCTCTTGTGCTCCAAGCAGCCTCTCACCCTCCTGCTGAGTCCTCATTATCCAGCCATCTTTGTTTGAACAACCTCTGCAAGTCAACATCAAAAATCCGCTTCCAGTTTGGGTCACTGCAAGTTATATTTAGCTTTGTAGAAGGCCTGGCTGTATCAAATATCAAATAAGAAGCTATGCTGACCTTTTTTGAGGAGGTTGTGGGTGGATAGAGTCATACACTTTTCCAATTGACCTCCAGGAAAAACATTTCTACAGAAGGCAAAAGTTTAAAACCTGGGGTAATTGTATTTCCGCTGGAGTCAAACTTTGAGCACCGAATAGCTTTTTTTTACCTGCTATTCCAACAGCACAAAACAGTAAAGTTTGTGTTCTTTTGAAAGACAGAAAATGACCTAAGCCCCTCGCTATTCGTTGTTATAAACAGAGGATGGGAAAGCGGCAGACGCTAAAGGTGTGGATCAGCTCTTTCCTCACTGTAATCCTGCTGCTGGACATCTCGAAATCAGCAATCAATAAGTGTGGAGAGATTTTCCAGCCAGAAAGCCGACTGACGAAGTCAGCGAGAAATGCCAAAAATCAACTTGAGGAAGTAATAGCGGGGGGTCAGGTGTCCGCACACAAATATTATTTGTGGAATTTTCAACCATCAGAAATTGTTAAAGGATTGCATAAAAGAACATTGAATTTAGCTGTTGATTTTTCCTAATAAAGGACCAAATATTCAAAGGTGTTCAGTTTATTCTACAGTAAATTTTAATATAACTATTGCTGCAAAATCTGTGTTTTTGCTTTCAAGGAAGTAGGACCAAGAGTAGAAAGCCTTGTAGCAACCGAGTCTGAACTACTCATCACTAGATTAATGAACACGTATGCCTTATTCTGCTTTGAATTGAGTGTTTACACCCATGTAATATATATATCAGGCTTATGTTGCAATTTCAAAGGGTTTTTTAATAATTCAAGGGAAAGAAATAACAAGAAAGCCAGATCTGTTTTATTTTTAGTTTAACTGGCATTAGTTGAGAGCAGCAGAGCAGTGGAACCAGATTAGTTTGTCCCTGAAACTGATCACAAGCCTCATAAAAAGCTCCGAATGCTGACAGGCTCACTTCCAGCTTCACGTGGTTTTAGCTGCATTAGTGGGTAATGCCTGCATTTCCAGCGTCTTTGCAAAACACCAAACGCCAACGTTCCAACGTCCGGCAGCCTCGCGGCTTTTAAGATCTACATTACATCGATCGAGTATCAGATGCTTTTGCTTGGAGCTGGCTCACGGCGCAGGATGGAGGCTACCTCACAACAGAGAAAGAGGAGGAGAGCATAGACGAGACAAACACTATCGATCTTCCAGTGGGGGAACACCATGTTGAGGGATGTCTCGAAGGGAGAAGTGTGCCCGAAATGAAAAAACATGTCTTTTTTTCGTGTTTCATTGCACCAGAGGTGCTGTTTGCACGTCTGAGTTCAAAGCACTTCACTGGGAAATGAAAGCTCAAATATCTTTTGAGTTGAGGGATTTCCAATTTGCCTTTTTAGTAATAACTGCATCCCACAGAAGCCCTGAGGGCATTAAGCCTGTCAGTCACATGTTCACGCCTTGCAGCGACAGCGTTTGCTGCTCTCTTTTGTGAAAGAGAGGAGAGGAGGCTAGACTTTGAGAGAAGAAAAAAAAACACCATGGGAGAAAGTGACAAATTCTCCTAGAAAAAAACATTGGCGTCTGGAAGCGTTTGACAGAATTTCAAATGCCTCTGGAATGTAATGAGACATGATTAATGCAGAACAAAGGGCAGAAGATGAGAGCGGACACCTTATTCTTGTTCCCATTCGCACTGGAGAGATAAGGGCAACAGCATTTCATTTTAATGGGCCGGTGGCAGCACCGTAGCACACCGATTAACATTTAACTGCAGCTGCTCCTCAACTACACCTGCGAATGCCACATGGAAATGTTTTACAACGTGCAAACTTATCTCTTCGCGACACATTCAACTCCTTATGTGGACCGAATTATGAAGCTGCAAGGAACTCTTTTAAGATGATAACAGATTAAGAAAACGTGTCACGTCAGAGCAGTTCAGCATGAAAGTAAAGGTGTTAATATCAACCTGTCAGGCTGAGTGGATGGAAACAAATGAGCTTGACCTTCTTAGAATGTGATTAAAAAGCAAGTAGAAAAGAGACAGTTCTTCAACTACTCCTCTTTATTGTTACTTCAACCATGTGATTTTGCGGTTCAACTCCCTTCCATGATTAATGCTGGGAAGAGCCTCCTTTCTGGGTGTAAAACGTTTTCCCTGAAAGCAATTTTACCTGCACCGTTCACCCCAAACATATCTGCTTCACCTTGCACATCCATTTATTTTCTACCTCTAATCATCAAAGCTTACACCAGTAAACTTCCTTATCTGCTATGGAAAAAAAAAAACAGATGAATTCCTTTTACTATTATTCTACTCTGAAAACTGCTTTCATTGTTAGCTATAAGAGATTTTTTTGTCTGACACAGACGCATAGAAGCGTTCGATATTTAAAGCTGTTCAGAAATGCGTGGAAAAAAATCATTATTGTGACAGAACCAATAGGGTATATGTTTTTTTTAATTAAATAACACTGTCTAAAATAACTTTCTACCCCTACCAGCACAATGCACATGAACTTCATCAGTCTGATGGCTGCAACGTTTTTCAAAACTATGACGGAAGGAGAAAAAAAGACTAGAAAATTAATTAAAATAAACATGTCAGTGATATAAATGGGTATAAAGGGCCCCTGTAGAGGCAGAGACTGCCATAAATCAATATAATTGTAGTAAGACTCCTGGTGCGCAAGTAACCTGCAGTCTTCATTCCTCTCCCAAAATGTCCAGTAAATGGATTTTGTAGTTCTCTAACGCTATTAAAAACAAAGGAAAGCTGGCTTGTTGTTGTCTATGAACGAGCCTTTGATGCTTCTATGTCCTGCTGTGACTAAGATATTGGTTTAAAAAGATTGTCGAACAACTGCGCTCTGTTTCGATTTACATTCACAAAGCGTTCCAACTTCTTTTTGAAACTGGTGTCGCACAAACATTTTTTTCTTTTGTGGGGAAAAGTAATGGATTTTAGAATGTCAACAAGACAGGCAGCAACCCGATAATGTCTAACATCCTCACTCTCTCCAGACATTTTCAAAACAGACATTTTCCCACTCTGTCTCTGTGCTGTTGGTAGAAAGCTTTCATGGCCGGGAGCTCCTTATGTAGATTCTATAAAATGAATAAAACACTAGAGTTTCAACTATGTCGCTAAAAAGCTAAATTCTAAAATCCACTTTCCAAATGACCATTATCATTATAAAAGGCATGCCCATTTCCATCTTCCTTCATCCTTTTGCTAACTTTCTTTGTCCTTTCTTTCCACCCATGATCCCATCAGGTGCTTCCCAGAACCGGAGGCTTTTCCCAACATCCCCCCCCATCTGCTCCATCATCCCATTCCCTGTGAAATCAGCAGAACACAACAGATTGAACCACAATGTAGCATCATACAAAATAAAGTCTTCATATCGAGCACTAGCAAAAATAAGACGTGTCCCCTTTCTAATTTTGAAGTCTACAGTAAATTATGTGCCATCACCGGTGCCACACACACTAAAAGGATCTGCGTTCTAGTCCCTAAAAAGTCAATTAGATCCGTAATTGCCTTACAAAAATACTAAATCTGTCGGTTGGCTAATGATTTACACAACTGACCATTTTTAGTAAGGAGTGCACTAGTGAAATGAACCATTAAAGTAATTAATCGGAGCCCAGTGCAAATATAGAAGCTTCTGACAGGAAGTGCTGGATAAAAAGCTGATTGAGGAGCGTGGAGGCTTCAGCTCGGCCCTCCTAACTCCGCTGGGGGACGTTAGCGTCCTCCTGGCTGCTCTCCAGCAGCTCATCCTCCGAAAAACTGATGTGAAGGCAGGTATCATTCAAGGGGGAGGAGAAGGGCGGGGGTTCACAGGGGTCCGAGGGAGAGCCCGGGGTTTCGGGCTCGGTGGGGGGCGATTCGGACGGGACGAGGGCCGCTTGGACCCTCTCCTCCAGGGGGCTCCCGCAGCCGCTGGACGCCGTCAGAAAAGTCCCGCGGTCCCCGAAGGGGTCGTCCTCGTCGTCGCGCAGGGGCGAGAGCTGGGACTTGGTCTCGGAGCGCACGCCCGAGTCCTCGCTGGCCGACGAGGAGCTGCTCTCGCCGTTGCAGAGGGAGTGGAAGTCGGTGGAGGACAGGGAGCCGGGGGTCACGTCCGGGAAGGAGAGGCTGCTGCTGCGGCTCGGGCTCGCTTCGTTAGCGCCCACCTCGGCGGGCGCGGGCCCGGCCGGGACCTCTGACCCCGGGGAGAACGTCCTGCTGGCCCTCTTGCGGTTCATTGAGGGCGGAGGGGGGTCAAGTTTGGGTATCGTCTGTTTGCATCTGACAAAGAGAGAAAAAAAGAGGCCCTGTTAGTGACAAAACGCCTTTAATGGTCAAATGAGAGGTACCAGAAGCACTGCTTCATCATCTTCATTTGGCTAATTCACATTCGGCATCATTTCCTACTCTATATGGGCTTATAAAAGTGAGCCTCGAGCTGGTTTTGCTCTCCATCAGTCACATTATACCCCATTAACCTGAGTGCGAGCTGCTTCTACACGAGCCATAGGCTCCCTCTCCGGCTCCCTGTTGTTCTGGCTGTCAAGGAACTTATCTATATCCCGCAGCTCCCCCGCTGTGAAAATAGAGAGGGCCAGCGGAGGAACAACAGCCAAAGCCTGGGGGGATGGGGCTAAGGAAGCGAGGCGAGAGCTGCGGGCTTTGCTACAAGACACACACCAGAAATAGCAACCAGGCAGTCAGTGATTTGGCCCCAATAATGCCACGACAAGCATCGGTGCACACATCCACACAGAATTACCGCCACTCTGTCGGAAAATGACTCCTGACCCAAACCAGATAACAAGTCGTGTTTCCTCCCTCGCTCCTCCCGGTTAGGATGCCGACAGCAGCTAACTTAGGTCCCCCGTGGGATCCGTTCTGTGGTTCTATTCTGTTCTAAGTAATGAACTTATGTGACTTTATCATGTCTGTACTCTCTGCTTTTGCTGGAGAATAATGTGGAAGGCTGGAGTAATGACAGATCGGTAGAGATGGGGATAACATCTAAAGATATAATTATCCGTAATTTCCGAAACGGACAAATGGATCGGCGCACACAGCCAGGGAAGGGTAAAAGTCAACTGGCTCCATCGCCACTTGGGATATCATTAGCTGTTGCTTGCCATTGTTGAGGCGTGGCTTGAAGGATGGCAGCGGGATTGATTTAGTTCCAGAGGAAACCCTCTCGACGACTGAGTGGATTGGCTCAAAAGTTTGTTGAGAAATATGACACAGGTAAGACATTTCCCCTTATTTCAGCCGATTTGGAACAAATCCGCTTGGCTGATGTCACATATAAGGCCTCAATCGGACACAGGTTCGGTATTTCTGGTCAAAACATCAAGAGATCTGTTCATGAAATACAGCAGATAAAGTGGACATTTGGTTAACATGTCCAATAAAATATTCATGAACTTGTTGGGATGAACTGAGGTGACCTCTTGCTTTTTCCACTTGGCAAAATCACACACGCCGAGTAATTCATACACTGTAGAAACTGCACAGTGGTGATTTTCCAAGAAGATGTTGGACTCTAGGGAATTTTTTTTTTTAACTAATGCAAAGACTGTTTACATGGCTGTCGTCGGCTATTAATTTAAATGGCTGCCGGTGAGGCCTCTGAGGTCGTTCGTCTGAAGATGGGTTTATCGCATTCCCCATCTGGGAGACTGTTGATTCAGCGAGGCAAAAACATGCGTGTGGAAAACATCTATCGCTAAGAGCCCTTTGCTCCGAACAGTTTACCTTGCACGAGGTGAACCCCAAACAGGTTTTCAGGCAAAACACTGAGCGGCAAAGTGACAAAAACAGACAGAGCAGCCATGCAGAAATCGCAGTGACTCACCGATCGCCACAATGCTAATCTGCACCGCCACATCCGCATGTAAATGGAGGTTATTACGCAGTCATTAACTGAGAAAATCGCTGGTGAGACCTTCGCACGAGTCGGCAAACGCCCACGCCGTTCACCCGCCACATGCCCGGCGCCATGCTCGTGCCACAGACACCAACCAGTTCGGCATGCTGATTATCATGAGTAATACTCACAAAGATGGGGAGAGGGGCAGAGAGGAGAAGAAGAGGAGAAGGAGAGGAGGAAAGGGGGGCTTATGCAGTGGCAGAGAGCTCCCCAGGCTTGTAGGGACAGGCGGGCTGGTGCGGCAAACGATGAGAGGGGCAGGGATGGGGACAGGAGGGCGTAAGCTGGGGGTTATGAGCGGTGGCTTTTTTTCTGGGGTTCGCTCTGTTTGATCGAGCGGACACACAGGGACTTATGGGATAGCTAGATGAGGAAGAGGACGAGCAGGAGCGGGTCATCACACCTGTACCGGAGATAGAGGCGACAGTTAGACTGAAAGGATGACGATGCTTGGCGAGGGGGAATTTTCAAAACGCCGCGACCCACACATCAGAGTTCATCAGCTGTGGCCCATTAAAGCCACTTTGAGTTGACCATTTCCAACCATTACGGCCTCTGCGGCAGCATTTCAAAAGATGGTGGAGGGGCTTTTAACGAGTGTTCTATCTTTTTAAAAAATGTATCTGAACAGAAGCATATATGATTCGTATTTTTCTATCAATTCGCAATGTCAATAGCAGTGGTAGCCTCCATAAAAAAAACTGAGCTAATATAAACTGCTCACTCCTCTTTATAGCTGTGAAAACTTTAGAACTCTTTAAAAATAATAGGCTTATGCAAATTTGTTAATTTTTAAAATCTAAATTAAAGACATATTCGGTTAGGCAGAATGTTTTTGATAGGTTTGCATCACCTGGCCATGAATTATACAGATGCACTGACTATGTGCCTGATTAATGTAAAAATCCACTAAAATGCTAAAAGATATGTCATAATAATATTTTGTGAAGGCATGTATGTAGACGTAAACATGAGGCAGTCCTGGTACAGGTCTTATGTTTATTTTTCATAAAGTGTGTGGGGAACTGTTTATTTCTGGACTAATTCAATGTCAGGCAAAAGTCAGGGGATACAGGAGAGTAGCAAAGGTGCTTTGGGAGTGGAGTCACTGTGTGGTATCAGCGGTGCAAATGAGTCATAAGCCGAGCGCATTCATTAATCATGTTCAGTGATTAAGAACGAAGCAGCCAATCAATGCAACATGCAGAACAGACCCAGTAGGATCAGTGAAGATCAACTGGTAGACACAACAGGCAGAAGGTAAAAAGCTCTGGTTCTGACTTAGTTTTCCAAACAGAAACCTGCCGTTGTCTGTTCACTCGAGTTTTGAGGCAGAATAAGACACCAAGCAAGTGAAAAACAAAGCAGTAGGGGGTGGATTAAAATATGGAGGGGGGCAGTGGCTCTTTGTAAAACAGCTATTTTTTTATGCGAGGAAATGATCACACTCATCTTACTGTGCGAGAGCAAGAGCTGTGTGTGGGATGTATAAGAATGTAGGTGGGTGAACATGAGCTTCAGCAGTGTCTGCTAAACTAATTGACTTTAAAAGCACAGGCCTGCCGAACGAGCCCTCGTCAATCCTTATCCCCGCACTCAATTTCCAAACTCTGCAGATTATCAGATTCAGGTCGGCAAAGGTCAGAAAACACAGAGAAAAATTTTCCTGCGAGTGGGCCAGAACCTGCCTCTGAACGGCTGCGTGTCTGCAAATCCAGCCCACGGCAGCGGCTCTGCCTAAAGACCGGGAAACATCATCCATCACACTCCCATAACATCCCTGAAATGAAATTACTGTCCAGTGAGATCTGCTCTAGTGGCTCTGGCACACAGACCATGATATTAATGATGAAGGGGGGAGACAAAAAAAGGACGGTTAGGAAGGGATTAGCGCAGATAATGTTAGGAAATGGGATTATGTAACTTTCAATAAATACTGTACGAGTGGAACAGAATAGAATCTATACCATGCATGACTCACTGGCGAGCGGAGGATTCATTCAAAACTGTCCACCACATGTTTTTTGTCTTTGCTCTGTGTGGGCATCGCTGCAGTTTAAGCGATATCTTTGGTCAGTAAAATCGCTTTGTTCCAGCCTGAGATATATCTTAAAAACCAGTGGAAAGATGGAGCTTTAGTACAGACATCCACGGCCCCAAGAGGCTGTGCTGACTTTGGTCTTCTTCTGACTCAGTTCAGTGTTTTACCCACAGAAAGTATTTTCAGCTCACTATAACGTCCTGTTTTGGTCCCACTTAGATTTGACTGTTTGTTGTGTAAAGTCTGACTCACAACATGGTTGGGTTTTTGTGGTCAGCGGAAGCCCACATACGGCAGGAAGGCGATCAGGGTACAAACCTCTTCCCAAAAAAAAATGGGATGCGTTTGAACTATACACAAACTAAACGTCATCACTTGAATTCCCTCATAAAATAAAAAGCAGTATTCAATATAATTAAGTTTAAAGTAATATCAATTATCAAAACGGATGCTTTCTCTTTTTTTGTGAGACATGCAATCTCGTTTTTATAATGTTCTAAAGAAAGTCGTTAAAGGGGAAAAAAATGTTTGGGACCCAATAAGTTCAATTAGAAAACATCAGAGAATTAACATGATTGAATATAAAAGGATAAAGAGTAATTTTAGCATGGAAGAGCAGATGGCTGAAGCCAAATCTGAAAGGCTGTGATCTTCAGGCCCTCGGGCTGCGCCGCATTAAGAATAGACAGGATTCGGCCATAGGAAGCGCAGCATGGGCTCTGGCACATTCCGGAAAAGTTGATCACTGCGGCCAAAAAATGCAGCATCAACCATGGGCATGCAAACAGAATAGAAAACAACAAAACAATGCTAAACCTATTCATAGATTCTAAAGGAGCCTGCGGAAAGTTGGGCGGCTGAATACATCCAAGCAAAATTAAAGGAATAAATCAGCAACTGATCTGCAACTAATTTGAATTCCCAAATGGTGTTTTAAAAAAAAATGATGCAACACAGTGGAAAACATGAAACTTGGTTTTCATGTGACTTTAAGCGAACCTTTTCAGCGCCACAGACCAAACAAGCCTCTTTTTCTTTAAACAGACAATAGCAGGAATAAAAAAAAAATGGTAGTTTGCTGAGCAGAGGAGCTTAGATTCCATTATTTCAGCACTGGGGAAAGACAGTGCTGAGTCCAGAACCATGCTGTTGGCTCCCTGCGGTAAAATGAAGCAAAATGAGAGAGAATGGGCGTGCTGTCCATGGTGGGAGGTAGCGCACACATGAAGGTGCAATTCCTTTCTGCTGCTTGCTGAAGTGATGGAGGGGCGGGGGGCTGAGGAAGTAAGACAGGTGAGAGGAGACAGTGGAAGAGTATCTGTTTGCAGAACATAAAATCAGGCCACTCAGGTCATAAACATAATCCACTGAGGGTATCCACAGAACAAAAGAAAATGGAAGCAATAAAATTTGCTGGGTGGTGGTGGTTGGGGGGGGGGGTAAAGCGCCAGAGTCCGACTGCAGCAAAGCTGATGTAAAGGAGTTCACGAGCAGAAAAAAACACACAGAGAGTTTCCATAGCCGCATGGCTTTCCCCCCCGCTCTATAGCTGAGTCACTGTATGGCATTAGCAATTCAAAAAAGGTCACACTTTGGAAGCATATTTGCTTTCCAGTTTTTTTCTCTTAGCTGAAATTGACTTTAGCTCGTTTTTTTGTCCGTGGCGTAATAAGCTGGCACTCCAACTTTTTCTTATCTACCATTTGTGTGCAGCCCCAGAATAAAAATGTTTGGAATCACTTTTGTGTAAACACGATATAACAGGAAAGCAAACTGAACCAACTCTGGCAGATAAATTAAATGGCACTTTGGGGAAAGAATACATCGATGTTTTGGTGGTACATTTCTGTGCTGATGCATCTTTTAACGTGTTCGAGATATAAAATGGAAGGTAAAATGTGTGTAGAACTTCAGAAAGAGGAGAGACTTGTTACATACTTTCCAATAACAGGAAAAAAGGGCCGTCGAGCAACATGCCGGCAGATTAAATGAATATTCAAAAGGACATGTACAGTAACAGGATCCCTTTCCTTGAATGAGCTCTTTGGCCTTTTTCCTTCTTCCTTCAAAGGTATAAATCCCACATATGAAGCAAAGAGTTTCATTTTGTAAAGGGATGTCAAATCGGATTGGGCCAAACTAAGACAAAAGGCAAATGCAAGACACCTTTAGGATGCGTCCCTCAGAAAGTTCACAGTCGATTACTTTCTGATTGGGAAAAGCCAGAAAACATAATGAGATGGTGAGAAGAAAGAGAGCACCATGATGAGGCTAAAAGATAGAAAACACTTTGTGATGCTTGACAAGTTTTCTTGATCTCATGTGGTATTTTCTTTAGCATAGCCAGTCTCTGTGACAGCTTTAAGAAGATTAAAAGCTCATTAAAAAGCTCATTAAAACCTGATTATAAGCAGTGGGTCCATAGATTCATTTAAATCATGGTAAGAGCCACATATTACATGCACTTCACAGGATAAAATGCATGCAACAGCAAGCGACCGAAGAGAAAATATCTCGTTTATTTAGCATAAACCAGTCCCTCTCAAAAAGAAGATTCCATTTACTCTCTCGACATGCGATTTAATAACTTAATAACCTCTCCAAATTAGGTTTTTCCAGAAGTAGAGTTCTTGGAGTTCCCATGTTTCTCTTAAATCTCCTTCCTTCTCACAAGCTTCTCCGATTTCCCGCTTTCAACCTCAAACCTCATCCCCCCCTTTTGTTTGTCTAACTCAAAGCTCTTTTTCTGTATAATCCCCTGATTACACTCGCTCTTTCATTAGCTGCAGGCGGTTTTCTGCTGAGTTGAGCTGTTCTCCAGCAATAACACTAAAAGCTACGGGACGTGGCCGTGGATGCCGTTGCCTGGTCACCCCAAACACAAACTGACTGGTAACACGCCGTAGCACAGGCTGTGTATCTGCGGGTCGAAAAAGGGTTTAACGTCCTGTAAAATACGCAGACATGGGACAGGGGAGGGCGGGGAGCTCCTCGTGTTCTGAAAAATGAAGCCCAGGCAGCAGGTGGCAGCTTAGCTTTACACTGGAGCAGCAGGCCTGATTCTGTCAAAGACGAATCCATCCACAAAACCTTGAAGACTACCGTCAGAGATTTCTACAAGTGAATTTTTCCATTCAAATAAATTCAGGATCTTTTCCTGTTCAATTTTAGGCCACAATTACATCATATGAAATCTTATAAATCATATATCATATGAAATCTTACAAAAACAAAGTGAATGAAGGGCAATATTCATCTTTCCCCTAGATAACCCCACATAGAGCCCTTCGCATGTCTTCCTGTCTGAGACAACAGAGCAGAGATGACACTGGTAACGTCTCTCTCTTCTTGGAAAATGTTTAGCCCAAAAAAACAACAACACACAAACACGTCACTCAGCAGCAGAACAGATGATGCAGAGCACATGACGTCCACAGAGGGAGGGACAGTGTGGTCCCTGATTATTCCAGCTCTCTACATCCACACCCCCAAACTGCATTCGCTCATTTTTAACACGATTTAGAGCTCCGGCTACCTGATGAGTTACAGTTTAGAGAAGATGGCCTCAGGAATATCAGTATTGTGCCTCAGTGACAGCTAAATGCATGTTTTTGGGGTTGGTACATTCGTTTTAGACATTATGAATACTCCTAAATGAGCGTGTTATTTACTGGAGTGATGCTTGACGTGGACAAATGCCACCAACGGGAACTCTGTTCTCGATTTAAAAAAGGTCAATCATGGCAGCCGTGGCTTCTTTTTTCTCACATGATGAACATTTTGTGGTCTGAACTACAAAGGGGAGGGGGCCCGGTGCTCATTGGTTGGACCTGCACCATGTAATGACGCATGAGGAGAGTGGTCTTACTTTTCCTCTGTTCCGGAGGAGTTCCTGGGCGATGACTGGACGGTCTCGTTGCTGAAGATCTGGCTGGTCCGGGCGGCGCCGTTGGCCCTGATGAACGGGTCCAGGTCGGTGAGCGACGCCGCCGGCTTGGCGCTGTTCTCCAGGTTGACCAAGTTGAGGTACGACTCGGCGCAGTCCACCTGAGACTGGGGCCGGGGGGAGGTCTGGTGGGGCCACGCCGGCGTGGAGGTGACCAGCTGCTCCAGGGTCTGACCGTAGTGATTCCTCAGATTTAGGGTTGTTGCCGATGCAGGCACGGGGCTACAGGCTGGCAGCTGAGCATCTGGAGTGGAGGCAAAGCACAAAAACGTCAACGTCAAAATGACCAGGAAGTCTGCAACACAAGTGTCCGTTTCAAACAATTGCCCATCACTGAAATGATAAAAAAGCTGACTTAACAGAAACACTCAGACTCTCCTATGTCTGGGATCAGTATGATAAACATCTTCTGTTGTTTACTGAAAGTGTCAGCTTAAAACGCACACACACACACACACACACATAGACAAACACAAGTAAAACCAAAATCAATATGTAAAACAGATTCAAACAAACAGCCCTGCACAGTGAAGACAAGCACAGAATTATTCATTATTACTCAGTGCTATCAGCCCTTCTTTTAGCTGCTGTAAACACTCCTGTCTAAATACGCCCCTCTGGGGAAAAAAAAAACTTAAATAAAAACGTCCCTGGTTCAAATTCTCACTGAGAAAAACGGTCTGTGCGTTTTTGGATCCGCTGTGCGCGTTATGAATAGAGGCAGCTTTGGGATGCTATTGTGTCTGAGAAAGGCGTGGTGTGCTACACAATGTAGGAATGGTGCAGGGGCCTCAATTTTAACTGTCAGGCACTTCAGATGATTATCATTATATTCTTAGCCTGTCTGCCACTCTGTTCCCCTATTGTGGGACACAGCTGACCAAAGCCACAATATAGCCTAAGGAAAGAGACAAATGACTAGCAGGCATACAATGGAAGCTATGTACTGGTAGCAGGAAAACACATCCCGGCTACTGATCCAGGCACGTCTCTTGTTTCCTCACTGCTTATGAAGACATGTGTGACAGATTTCACGTGCCCGCGACACTCAGGAAAATGTGGAAAAAATCCCCACAGAGAGCAGTGGAGGCTTGGAAGCCGGGTCCTTGTAGCAGACTTTCAGTTTCTGGTGGGAGCCACACGCTGCAGTAACAGCAGAGTCATCAGTGGATGCTTGTATTGTGTCGTACAATCTGTCACTAACTAATAAACACGGCCAATATGGAAGCTAATCTTAGACTTACTGATCCTTTTCACAGTTCTATCCCCAGATGAGCTGCTTAGCAGCTGACATCATCGAAGCGCTTGCAAACCGCCTTAGTTCTGAATGTACTATATAAAAAAAAAAAACATTTCTTAGCTGTATGAGTTATTTTGCATCTATATAATTTAGCAAAGCATTAATCAGGACTTTAATTTGATTGTTATTATAATAAAAGTGACCGTTTGAAATGCATTTTAAGTGCTCTAGCCACTTTTCCCAGCAAAGGCAAATCTTTTTGTCCCTGTTTCTGCTAAAAGCGACAGCGTCCTTGGCCTCTTTAGCCGGCATGGGGTCATGATTCACGTCGTGACTGTCTGCTTGATCCCCAGGCAAACAGAGGAGCGAGCAAAGAGGACAGCGGCCCCTGAGGAAGCTGACCTGACACTTGTTTGCATGAGGGGGAGTCACACTGCTTTCCTGCCCGTCCACCCACCGTGTGCGTTAGCGTCAGCCTCCCGCAGGCTTGCTTTCGGGGAGCGGTCCTCCAGCTCTTTCAGCTGCTGCACCAGCAGGGCCAGGTGCTGCAGCAGGTCCCGGTTCTGCAGCAGGAGCTGGTGGATGCGGGCCTGGGCCTCCATACGAGCGGCAGTTTCTGCCGCCACCTGATCTTTTAACAGCTGAACCTGCAGTGGCAAAAAAAAAAAGAAAAAAAAAAGGGCTGCTTATCTTTTTGTTCAAAGTCTAAGGTTACACAGAAAGACAAAAGCCCATCTTTAATCAAAAGCGAATCCCATTATTAGCGGGGAATTTAGCTTTGAGCCGGGGTTAAACTTAAAGGTGAGACTGTGTATTACATCACGTCTGTTTTTAATATGTTTTTATCCTGAACTAACTCTTCCTCCATAATTGTGTTAGTACTGCCTCCTAGTGGGCTGTCCAGTAGTAAACATGTATCAAATATTTAAAGTATGCTTTGCTCTAGGTGCCATGAAGGGAACAAGTTGTTTTTATTTTTTTTCCCTCCCAAAATTGATAAAACTTTAATGTGCATTCCTGAAAGGAATGGCTTCGTCAAACATAAAGGCCATATCAGTCCTCAAGGGCTTTAGAGCAGCCAGCAATCTGAGCAGAAAAAAAATCCCAAACTTTTATACATAGAAGTGAAGAAATAACCTAAATAAAACCCCGATGGGTGAGTTGTTCCAGTGGGGCCTCATAGAGCTGAGCTCACAGATCTTAGTCACAGATTTCAAATTTGCCAATCAAAAGAAAGGAAATACTGCAAGTAATGTTAGATCTAGTCAACGAGGGCAAAGTTACACTGAATCCATAAACTGATATTAAACAGAAACTTAAAGAAAACATGCAATAACACATTTTTGCAATCAAACCTCTCAAATGGGAGGATAAAAGTGGTCACCTAGGTAAAAATCCTGACATTCGTTCAGCCTGGAACACGCTTTCCTTCTTTAAACGTCTGAATTATTAAAAAGTCAATCTTTTAAGCGGATTAAGATTCAGCGAGAACCAAAATAACCCGAACCATCAAACAGGCGCGTGTTAGGGCCCAGCTCACTGGGTCGTAACATAAAATCGAGAGTAAAGTTAAGAAAGTACTTTGTTTATAGCTTAAAGACCAAGTAAGCACCTGCAGCTGATGAAGCTAAATATGAAAAATAACCAAAAAAGCTCCACTCAAAGACTCTTAAACTGCCGATACAAAGTCAGCAATGATTATCCTCTCTAATGGTCTCAATATGAAATTAAATGGCTGTTTAGAGGGTCCAGAATTGGAGACCATCTCTAAAACAAGAAATGGCTCCTGTTTGCACATGTAAAGAATGTTGAAAAGCTTTCATGGGCTACAAATGGGAACAGGGGCATGCAGGAGAGCTAGACAGCAGTGTAATAAATGACTGTAAACACAGTGGGCAGACTATCATGTATCCAGCAACCATTTTGAACAACCAGTGAAGGAAATCTAATACCGAAGCGGCTTTTAAAAGGAAGACACTCTGATCCATGAACTCAGATACGAACACCAGACAGAGTGGGGGTAGTAAAAGACATTATAGTTTACCATGACACAAGGCCTTTGCAGGGAAATTCACGTTTCCCAAATAAAAAATGTAAAAAAAAAATTGGGAAAGAATTTTGAGCTCAAGGAATATTTGACGTGAATTCGGCCCCTGCCCCTTTTTTTCTTCCTTTGGATGAATAATTTCAATATTTTTGCACGCTGTGTGTGTGTTGGTTACCTGTGCCACGGCCACCTGTGTGTGCTGCTGCTGCTGCTGCAGCTGCTGCTGCAGAAGCTGCAGGTAGTGCTGCGACGCCAGCGGCGTGAGGGACGGAGAGCAGGGGCTGCCCGGGGCCAGGCCTTGGGACGTCACAGTGAAAACTGACTTTCGATCGAAGTCCTGTCCACAGACAAAAAAAACAAAACAAAAGAACAAAACACACAGAAACACACAGAAAAGAAATACATTTTAATTATGGAATGAAAACTAATAAAGACTGACACCTCATCAGAGCCCACCACTGGCTAGTTGAGTATGAACTATTCTTAGACCATGGACACCAACTGATCTCGATTAATGAACCAGCTAAAAGCCCTCACTGTGACCCACTGATCTGAACCCTCCTGGAGCCTCGCTGTAACTACTTATCACAAAATGGATTCATCTCTGATCTCATTAGTCACAAGTCGCACATTCTCCTGCATCATTTCCATGCCTCGCTTAGTCTTCTTGCTTTTTTTAAATTGAATCACTGGCACATACATTGCAAATAGGATGCTCTCTACAGAGTTTTTTTTTACATCTAATAGAAAGCATAATAATTGCATTTGCGCATGTGTGTGTGTGTGTGTGTCTGGGATGTTTTAAAAATGTCCCTAAATATATTTTCAATGACAAGAAAAGTGTTTGCGTGAAAACAGGGGAAACCCACACCTACATCATCACGCCACCTTTCTGTTGCCATGCTAAACGTGAATCATTACATGTAATGCACACATGCAACCGCTAGAGGGCAAAGTAGCACAATAATAAAACCCATCCAAGCTGTGCAGCTCATCTGGCTGCTGCTTGTGACTGAGCAAACCTGACTCTGTGTCCTGTTTAGTTAAATTTGATATCATGTGTACCACTTATTTAAGGATTTTGTGAATTAAAAATCATTGCAGATATTACATTTTTCTTATTATTAAATCCTAAGAGAAAAAAACACCTTTTTTTCTGGGGTGCGGGTGCCCTTCTGTCATCCAAACGATCAAAAGGTTCTGAAATTTCTCAATATCGCTTTTTTTCCAGAGTACTCAATGCTTAGGATTTTAAAACATTCTGTGTCAGAGCTGCACAGTGTTTTTTTTCTGACATTTCACTGACAAGAGGTGACTCAGACGTGACTGATATACTTTTCAAAGTTCACTTGTTTTTTTTAGGGACAGTGTCTTATTGCAAAAATTGTCAAAAAAATGATATTTTCTGTCCATATGCACTTTCACTTTAGATTCAGCCACTGCATGGAATGGAAACTTTAATCTGCTCATGATCAAAATACCATTTTTCCCTCCTCTATTTCACTGCTTTTGCCTCTTGCTGCTTCGCTGCTTATCTTCATCCAGCAGATGCTCATGAACTTCTCAGTGGGATTATGGTGCCATTTTCGGAAATCAAAGGGAACCGACTGGGTTTCTGGGATTAGGTGTCCCCCCCCTTACACAGCCAACGGGAGCACTCGGGAGCCCCCCGCTCCAATACCTCTGTCTCGCTTTGAACAGCACGACAGCAATTCCCTGACTCCGGTGGCAAATCCAGAGCAACGCGACATGAAGCACCGAAGCCTTTCCCCTCTCATCATCCTGTCTGTCACAACCCGCAAAAACAACATTCAGGCTTACTCTCCACAAGCAAAGCACAGTTAATTAAAAAAATGAAACCTCTCTACCCTATGCACTGCTGCAGAGCGGCGGCCCTGATTAGTTATGGGGCACTTAACGGTACGGTCAGGTACTGCAGTGGACGCTGGAGCTGCTGAGCTCAATGAGCCATTTGGCAGCTCTGTGCTTATCACGAGAGCCAAAGCAGTCGATCAGGAGTGCAGAGGCGAAGTCCTGTGGCTGCAAAGGCGGAAGGAGTTGGAGAAAAAACACCTGTGATCATCACACTGTGAGGGCTAAATATTAGCTCGTCTTATGTTAGATGGAAGCAGCACATCTCAATTTGTCATTACAATTATTAATTCATGTCTGTGAAGATATCCACTCTTGCTGACTCTTGCTGATCTACTGCTAAGTCCCCATTAGGGGCTGTAACTTTTCCAGACTGACCAATAGTGTCATTTTTTCTGCTAAAGAGGCATTTATGTAACAGTTTGAAATACCAAATCAATTCAGAGTGCAACTGTCGCCAACTCTTTCTATCTTTCATTGGATTACAGCAAATGCTCTGCATTCCTCAAATGTCTTTTCAGCAACTTTACCGGGCAGGCTTTTGCTCCTCGGCCTTAAAAGTGGAGCCTTATATATCTGAGCGTGCACACTTTGCCTTCTACGTTCAATCACAACAGAAACATCAATGACTTGTAAATGCGTACTCCAATCAAAACTCATAGTTTTTACTGAATTCATAAACTTGATGAATGAGCACTATTTAATTCATTGGAGAAAAAAATGTATTAGATGTCTTAAAATAAAAGTCTATGGATGTTTAAGATGTATTAAATACATTCCATTTTTATATGACTTTTTATTACACTCATTCAGAGTAGAAAAAAAATAATTAAACTGTCCTAGAACTGGACTAGCAAAATTGTTAAGTTTAAAATGCATTTTAGATTTTATTTCTTTATACACACACACACACGCACACATCATGGTGTATTAAATCTAAAAGAGTGCTCTGTCTGCACCACAATTATTGGTCCCATTGCACCAGATGCAGAATCCTGTGACCAACGTTAGAACTGTTCAAGGCACGACTTCTGACACTAACCGGATTAAACGAGTGTACACACATCCTGAAGTATCTCACCATAATAGTCTGTCCGGGTTTGACCATGTTCAGTTCAGCCAGGCTTTGCAGAATCTCGCTGACTGCCTTCTCGCAAAGCGAAGCACCGGCCGAGGGTTCCTCTCCCCCTTGACCTCCTCCATGTTTGCCGTCCTTGTCTCCTTCCCCTTTCTGTGAACGTTTACGACCTGTGAAGGAGCACACAGGGTCAGAACACTGTTAGAGCTGACTTTTGTGCAACTTTGCATTCATGACTCTGTGGTATACTAATGTCTCATGACAAAATCCATCTGAAGGCTCAAACGTATCCAGCATGGGGGTAAATTAAAGGAACAAGATGCTAAATCTCGATGCTATTTGGAGCACACAGTATTTTACTTTCACATAGGGAAGAGGTCTCTGATGTCATGAAACTAGTAATTAACTGCAAATTACAGTCATTAGCGTGAGCCCTAACGACAATGAGGCTGATTGTCTTCTTGTGTTGTCAATCCCAAATGAACCATATTGCTGTAACACTAGCTCATAAAGATCAACATCATATTAAAAAAAAAGAAAAAAATTGAGAACTTTGTCATCTTTTATCATTAAATACATATGATGGACTGGTTTATTGTCAAACGGGTACAAGCTAATGGTTAAATAGATGCTTTATAACATTGCATTGCTATTGTTATGATCATATCATCATCATTCTAATGAGTCAGAAAATATGCCCTTCAACATGATCTGCACAAGCCAAATCAAATATAACAGAGGAAGGAAAATCCTTTTCCCACCATTGCTGCTGGGCTCTTCGGCCGACTTGTCGCTCTCTCCGTCCGCCTGCCCGTCGGCGTCCTGCTCGGCGTGCTGCAGGCTGAGCTTATGGCACACCTCGAAGGCCTGGCCTACTGTCCGCACAATGCGCATGGCCTGTGTCTGGGAGAGGACGGAGGCAGGGATCAAATCAAGCGAAAACAAACGGAGGGAAGTTGTTCAGCAGTCGGTGACGCGCTCAGTCAGCATTTCACTCGTGGGCTTCGTTTGTCTGTCAAACCTTTTGATAATATCAGGCTTTAAACTGAAGGCACGGGGAGTCATTTAAGAGATTAGACTGAGGAAAGGCACAGAGATGCTTGTCTGAAATACACAAGCTGTAATCTTTTGTCCTTGAGTGCACCTATTCGTCACCTACTGCAGGCTGTGGAGCAGCTAAAGAGAGTATTGAGATCGATCAAATATGCTCAGACGACAACCAAGTGTGGGATGACAGTTTGCTTTTGCTTCCAAGTCTTTACAAACAGAAACATAACTAAGATGTACCTTTTTCTTTGATTTGAAGACGTTACACCTGAAGGAATTACTGGAGCCATCTCTTGCAATGTAGCTGAAGATCTTCAAGTCCTGGGAGTCGTGGGACACGTAGAAAATCCTGGAAAAACGAGACGGGGAATGCAAATGCTCTGTAAAGGTCACACGTATCTAAAATATCTATCAGGTGCTTCATCACCGGCTTTATTAAGAAGGAGTTCTGAGGAGAATAAACACAGCCCGATGTTTTTCAAACGCCCTCTCTACACCTCTCATATCGTCCCGTTTGGCTCCCTTCCTGCCAAAAAAGCAAACGCGACCTCCCTGGGGTACACCCACAAAGTGAAGGGTCAGATCTACATGCCCGTCTGCAGCCTCGCCGCTGTAAAAAGGCATCCACAGAGAGCCGGGCAAACAAATTATGGCCTCCTTCAACCGAGACACTAACATATGCAAAAACACCAGCGGGGAAAATGACACTTTAAACACGCAGCCTCTTGATGAGGCGTGTTTTCGCTAAGTGACATTCATCCATTATTTAGAAACACACACATGTCTGAGAGCTCTGGAGGCTGCCTTCACCGCGGTCCAGATGCCATCTCACAGATAATGTCATTGTGAAACTTTGCAGCTAAATTGCCCGTTGGTTAACATTTCAATGTCCTCTGTTTTGACAGGCTCCACTATCACCATGGAAACAAAGTAGGGAAATAAGATGCTTGAGTAGAATTCCTCGGGGTACAAAATAGTCCCAAAACACTATAAAGGTGACACCCTACGAGCACAATTATGCTTGAAAATGTATTCTGAGTATCTGCCAAAATGACCTTCTCTCACATATGCATATGCTCCACCAGCTACATCCAAATGGATGAATTATTAAATAGAAATGTTACTACATTTGCTATAGGACATAGACTGTAGCTCCCCTCCCTGAAGGACCTCTGCAGCCCCCGCTGTCTAATGAGGGCTGGCAGTTTTCTGAGTGACAAACACGAATAGCCCCAATAAATGCTAATATTTCACCCCATCGTGTGGTGTGCAGTACTTTTTTTTTTGCCCGATAACTTTATTTACCGATGTGGTATGTATGCGCTGTGCTGACATTTGCGGTGCGCCGTACATCTCCGGTTCGAGTTCTGTCTGCTGTTCTGCTTTAGTTTTAAGTGCGTGCCTTATTTAGTTATGTGTCGTTGATTTGACAGGTTTGCACCGAGGGGAGCACTGTGCCCCAAATTCTTTGTGTTTGTGTACCCTGTACGACAACGTGGAATGTCAATGGAGACTCTCATCTTATGCTATCTGATCTGAAAGCCTCACACCGTGGCTCAGCCTCACGTGCAGATGCCGAATTGGAGACCATTTTTCACACAGATCGTTAAATTGCACCCACCTTAATTCTTTTTGTTAATTCTAGAACTGACTGGCTCACTCTGACTACCACTTTTACTCCACGGGTGAGGAGCAGAACTAACGGGTTAACAAGGACGCTTTATATTTGTTTTGTGTGCATCTATAGACAGAATTTGCAACTGACCTGTATATTGGATCTTGCATGATCATCATTTTGCTCTCATCCCAGGTCCACTCTTTTCTCTGTGAAGGACACAGATCATTCTTAGATATACAGGTAACAATAACTAACACATTGAAAAGACTAAAGAGTTATGCCATTTTATTCACTGCAGGTTTTTTTTTTTGTTCACCACTAACAGACCTTCTGTTTCTTCCTCTGCGTCACCTTGACTCCGTCCACAGAAACCACGATACTGACCTTCTTCTTCTTGATGTTTTTGGCCTTGAACTCATACTGTGAAAACAAAGCAAAAGATTATTGTGTCATGAACATGTAATAGCTCGACATTTATTCTGACACCTGACAGCTGTGGCTGATTTCCCACTTTGCAACAATCACAGTATTAAGGGCACAATCTGTCAGTATAGACACAGTCTGTAAAGCTCTTTAATAAATCAGACCTTTAATTAGCTCAAACAACGCATGCTAAATACCTGTGGATGAGCCAACTAAGAAACCTCCTTGGTGATCTCAGATGCTAAAGGTTAATGGCCAAATGTAATGGCCAAATTTGGTGAACTACGCTATTTAAAGCTGTATACATACAGCAAAGTCTCGAGAAGAAGAAGGAGAAAATGTTTTTGGGTGGATTGTGTTTGATTAGTGGAACACGAAGGCTACGTCTGCGCCGCCTGACACGTTTCCTCTCCGTCAGCTGCTGAGAACCTGAGCAAGTGCCGCCTGTCGGCTCCGATCAGCCTCCGTTTCCAACACAAAAGCGCAGCTCAGCCCCACCAAGTCACCAGCAAGCGAGGCCTACGCTGGGACTATCAGGGCACAGCCATCTGTCAAACCACAGGATACATCTGCTGCATAAACATTTCATGTATCTAATGAGGAACGAGGAGAGTGATTCCTCTCCGATGTGAGCGTGATGAATAGGAAGCCTTTATTAGAGGGCAGCACACTTAGATAAACAACGGAAAAGAAGAGGCAAAGACCCCACCTGCCTCATAAACTGTCATAAAAGTCAGTATTCCATATTTAACTTATTTGACTTGACCTGCTTGGGCTGATTTAATAACTTTGAGATGGACGACTCATGACAAAGGTTGGCACTCATGCTAAGCTAGTTATTATTAAAGAAGCTGGAAGTTATCTGCTTCTTATTTACACATAGGCAGTTATTATCATATATTGGAAGTTCTGTTTGCATTGTGCTGATAAATCTAAATGAGCATTTACTTTGTTTTAACTCTGTGTGGAATCTATTTGAAAAAATCCTCATTCAACCGTGCCAACTTATTGAGGTGCGTTGAGCAGCTAATAATCTTTTTTGGGTGGCTTTTATTTCTTTTTTTTCCAGCCACATGCAAAAACACATACTGTCTTCCGACAGATGAATAAGTAAGAGGGGAAAGAGACCTGAGAATGCAAAATAAATGTCAGCGTGGAGACAAGGAATGGTAAGAATAAAAAATAGAAGAGAAGATGGAAGGAGCGTTGAGCTGACGCGAAGAGACCGGGGAGAAGGTGAAGTGAGCTGTTACGTACCGACCTCCTGGAAAGTGACCTTTTAATGTAGGAAAACAATCCGGCACAGCAGCAATTAGCAGAGACATAGCAAGTCAAGACTTGCTACGGATCATTTTGGAATATTTTGTTTTATTTGTCTCGCGTGAAGACAGGATACGTCAGCGATGTCACGACTTGATGAGGGGATGGAATGATGTCTCACTTTCTTTCATGATTCATAATTTGTTTCTTGTGCAAGCCTGAAATACCCAGTTATCCTGGCCCTGAATCCACCGTGATTGAAGTTTCCGCCTGTAATTATACAGAACAGAGTCCCACAAGAGCTGCTTAGAAGGGAGTGTAGGTTTAGAAAGGCAGAAGAGACACACCACAGACACACAGAGGCACGTGCCGGGGTTTAAGAGAACAGACGGGGAAAACGAGCACGCTGCAAAACGAAGAGGTGATCATGTGAGATGAACGGAGAGTTTACCTCTGTGGGAAATTGAGGGGGGGAAATCATATACAAGGTTCCTAAAAATTTGTCTCTAACTGAAGGTTTTCGAGCATATAAAAACCAACAGATTCTGAGGCTTTGGTGTTTTCTTTGAATAAACAAACAGAATGTGGTAATTTGCAGGTAATTTAGTTGGAAAAAAAAGAAAAAAAAGCAAACCGTTGCCACGAAACAGCACTTTGAGGTATGATGGCAGCGATTTTTACAGAATTCAGGGTCAAACAGACACAGTAATTTTGCTTAATATTCACCAACTTTAACCTTCGTCTAGAAGGTAAAAAGTCAAGAAAGAAATTACAGGGATAGCTGGTTCGAGCTAAAAAACTGACTCAAAATATGTGTATTGGCAGAGAGAGCATCCATGTCACATTCTGGCTGTCTGCTTTGAAGCCATCGCACTCATCTGTCTTCCCGGAGAGCATAACAAATTTCAGTCTGTGCTTCTGCGTGTAATCTTTTGTCAAAGGGTCAAGACAGAATAGGGACGGCCATAGCTGTCAGCTCAAAATGAGAAAATCAAACTGGCTACACACAAAATATATAAAGTATTCTTTTCTATTCAAAACATCTAAGTCTGGAGTCTGCTGGAAATAAAAGGAGGCTCAAGATCTAGGCAAATGTGAGCAGAGGCTGTCAACTTTAATAAGCGACACAGGTTCAAGTCGAGGAAAAAGAATTACACCCCCAGGAAACTAGCTTTATAATGATTATTTTATGGGGGAAAAAAGAAACGATGAGTTTAAAGTGGTACAAGAGAAAATATTAAACACTCCTACTTACTTATTGCGAGTCAAGAAGTAGTGGTGTCCAAACTTTTGACTATTTCTGAGCTTGCAGTAGTCTGACTGGTGAGTTAATCCCTGCAGTCATTAAAAGTAGCTTCTTTTAAATCCATGTCCACAGTAGTTTATAGATGTAATGGATAAGCTTCCTGTTTTGTGACATGAAGAAAGAGCCGAGTGGTAGTTTGTATAGTGATTCTAAAACTCAGATAAAAGATCTAGTCTTGTTTTTGCTGCTCTACAGCAAACGCAGTTCAAGCCACGTGGTTTGAAGTCTTTAAAATGAAGTACCGTAGTCACTGTGCAGTTACTAAAAAACACGCCACACGGTACCAGCCAGAAAGCTCCACCGTAAATGATCGATTTCTCAAAGGAGAGACGAAAAAAATAATCATTTTGTTCGTTTTTCTTTGTGCTGGATATTACTTGAAAAAGTAAATATGAGGGATTTCGGAATGCCTAGGTAGCACACTGAATAAGAAATTAGGGGCAGCCCCCGGGCCTATCCAAGAGTCCTGAAAAGCAGTGGAATGTGGGTGCTTTGTGGGTCACTGATGCACCCTGTTCTACCATTGATTCCATATAGAAGCCCACAATAGACCCTATAGATTGCAACCTAGCAACCACTTCACTATAATCCAAAGGATTTGGGAAGTTCCAAGAAAATTCACAGCTCCCCCCCAACACACACACACACACACACACACACACAATGCCCAAATTCAGTATACAAAGACATGACTGTTGGAAACAGGACTGAGCTTCCATGGCTGCCCACAATCTCAGTTAAAAAACATTTCAATGTGAATACTACATCTCATTGGACTCTATCTGAACCAAAAGAGGAAATTTCACTTTGCGTTTATTTTTGCCACCCTACATCATTAAACAACCACTTAGCCAAAAATCGATGCTGCACTGTTGGTGTCTGAGTGGTGGTCAGACGGGGTTGACTCCCAGGACAGTAGAAACTCAAAAATCCTCCAGAGTGGACTGCACAGCTCATCATTAGTCAGCAGGAGTGCGATATGAGAGGGCCATTATCTTGACAGTCACCACAGATGACAGCCTTGGGCTCGATAAGAGGATAAGACCATGTGAAGACCTAGTAAGAGAATGCAGAAGGAAAACAAACGGGCGACCGCTGCTTACTGTCTATACTGAATTGAGAGGCTTTTCCTTGCGTGAAAATATCATTAACCTGCCTCTGGCGTGAAAGTCCCTTTTCTTCAAGCAGAAAATCTATTTTTTTAACCACTTAGCAGCATGTTTAGTCACTGAATACACAGCGATTCCGTTGTAGTGTTTGACGGATAAAATTGATCAATCACGGCCTGTGCTAATACACTTCAGTGGCATATTCAGGAACCAAAATGAACTGGGAACTGGAGGTGAGATGAGGACACTTTTGGTAAAGAGTCAAACACACTGGGAGTTTGCTCCTGGGAGGGAACGGCCATGTCTCGCTGCAGGCCCAGGAAGTCGCTCCTTGAGCGCTGACGCCCTTGGAGTGAGAATGGAGGCACGCTCCAGCGAGCTGCTGACAGGCGGAGTGAAACGGCAGCCAGTCCCAGAGCGCTGACGGCAGCTACTCTGGGTTAGTCGCATGGGGGGCTGGAAGGAGCACAAAAGAACAACCCGAGCATGCCAAACACTTACACTCACAGACAAACAGAGGAAGGTACACGCGAGGTTAAAACTACCTACTTTGCTTATCAACTCTGAAAAACCCACATCTACGACGATGAAACTCTCCCCTGTTCCAAACAAAAGAACACAAACTGGGTCTAGACATGTTTTAAATAAGCAGGATCGGTTTAAAACAGCTGACGGGATGCATGAAAAGGAGATCTGTAACTTAACCTGTAATGGAAATATTCCTCTCTGGATGGCGAACTAATCAGAATTGAACTGAATGAAGAAGTGAGTAGTGATATCCAGCCCAGCTGATAAACAGTTCGATCTGATGGTTCGTTCTACCTGCCAGCTGCTACACACCACAGTGACGCATGCATTCTCCTTTCTGGAGCTTTCAAACAGCCGAGTGTCATTTACAAATTGCTTTTCTGGCTCAGAAAACAAGGCCGTCAAGATGTTGAGAATGATGTAACTAAGGGCGTATAAAACTAAACCCACCCTAACAGAGAAAATGATCAAGATTTTCATCAGTGATTAATGAATGAGATCACCTGGCCTTCATTATTATGATGAATTACCAAGATGATTTAGTGGAACTACTAGGACGCAAACTACTCATATTGAGCATTACCCATTTGATTGCAGGGCTTAGAGAGAGATTAATGGCCACCTACAATCTGTCAGGAGTAGGTTGTGTTTACCATTAACCCACATGTATGTGCAAGTCAACATGGTGGTGGTGGTGGTGGTGGTTGGGGGGGGGGGACAAACAGATGCAACAACACAGTTGATGATAAACTATTTAGTGCAATGTCAGGCTTGAGGTCAGCGCTTCACCACGTGCTAACCCTGTTTTAGGGAGGGTGTGAATCGGGGTCGCCATCTGTGCTTTACATCCAGACACCCAAAAGCCCCTTACAAGAGGCTTTGGGAGTGCATGAGAGGGTTCCCAAAGCCTCAAACACGGCCGGCTTATTATGCGTCTGAGTGGTTCCTTATGCGGCCCAGCACACCAGCGGCATCGTGTCAGGTAGAGAGAAACTGAGGAACTCCTTTTCCATCAGAACGGAAATGTGGAAGAAAAGCAGGAAAGCAAGAAGCAGTCACGCAGAGGAGCGGTGTATGGAGCAGGATATGTAGCACCATAACCATCACTGCCCTGCTTTTCCATTATTTCTAAGAATCTAAAGACCTGTGATATCAACTTAATTAAAATGTCCGGCTGCAAACACACACTCTACAACATGATAAGCATGGGTAGTGTGTAATGGATCGGAGACAGGACGACAGCAGACAGGTACAAACAGGTCCTCAGACAAACATCTGAGGACAGCAACTTTCACCGGAGCCCCTCCCAAACACAAACACAAAGGCAGAAACCGGGCAAGGTGACGGGAAAAGATTCCACTGAAATCCAGCCGGTAAAAAAATATTAAAAAGAAGCGACAGATAACAAAAATAAGGGGAGATTTTCATTCGTCTCCAGGAACACACAAATGCCTCCCATGCATAAGCTTATGGGCCTATGAACCATCTCATCCCTCATTATCCATTCAGTCCTGCCCTGATGGGCTGATGGGAGTGAAGATAACAATGAAAGCAACAGAAAAACTGTTTGTTTTTCTACAGAACTCATGTTTGCTCTGTCTGAATAACGAAGTAAAACGCAGCTTAGATATGATTTCATCACTTAAAAACGTGTCACTGAATGAGACATGCAGACAAAAACAATAACATCGTTCTGTTTATGATGTATAGCCCAGTTTAGGATGAGAATTCAAAAATTAATTAACACTTTCCCTGCTTTTTTTCTCCCTCAATGGAAAACATGATATTTCTTCTACACTTTAGTGTAGGTTAATAGCGATTCTGACACCAGGAAGCCATCAACTCCCTAACATCATCTAAAGCTTTAACCCTTTGAGGCTACACAAACCTGTGAAAGGGTGGCGGAAACAAGAGGGACTGATTATGAAAGACACATGCACCTCACGAGACAAAAGCAACGATGGATTGATATAAATGGGGGGGATATCACCCTCTGGCTTTCCTTTTCATATGCTGGAGGAAGATGAGAGAAGTGAGTTGAATACACATCCAAACACACACACTCCCACACATCTCCAAATCACATTTAGAAGTAGGGCAACCTATCCTGCCAACTTAGGAGCCTGCAGCACTTCCAGGAAACAACATCATAATGAGGTGGGCACAGCTTATCGGCCCACTCATGATGAGAGCCTTCCCAGGCAGACACACACAAACCTAACCACCTGATGCCATGCTTACCCCAAGTATTATACGCATCATCAATCTTATTGAAATATGAATAAATAACTCTGTTTAGAATCAATATAAAATGGAAATGCAGCGATGTTCCAAAAAAAAAAGTTGAATTCACTGGTACAGCTGAAAACTTGAGCAGACCAAACAGCAAATGGCAGCTGATTAAAAACATCTGTCTTCTTCTTCTTCTACATTAATTAAATCAATAGAAGACGTTTCTTCCATCCCATCCAAAATTTCAAGTCATCGCCATACTAGAGCGGTTCAAAGAAAACACATTTTGTTGGCATTTTTAGCTGCCAAGGAGACCTGGCATGTGTTGTAAATTTACAGCTGCAGAATAATAGCAGGAGAGATCAATAAACCAACTGAGAAGAAACAGGGAGTCAAACAAACCTAATCTGTGTGGGGTCGATCGAGAAGACCCGGGTGAGAGAAATTCCAGCCAAAAGACAGCAGCGCTCAGCGCCAACATGGAGATGATGTTGTGGCTCCAAACATCAGGAACACTCATCCCGCTAACAGGGTGCTCCACGGTTCACTTTTTTGGAACAGGTTTAATTGCCTTCGTACAGCAATCTTTTCAGATTTGCAGGTGCAGGCCCTTGTCCTGAAACACCCATTAGAGAAATAGAGGCATGATTTCGGTTCTCATTCGCTGAACGGCTGTGCTCGTACCTGAGATGCAGCAGGCTGCTCTGATGGAATCTGCTAACAGGTTTCGCTCTGTAATGCGACTAGTAATTTGAGAGTCCTCCACCTGTTAGAAAAAGTCAAACGTGATCAGTGTTTCGCATCTAATCTTCTGGACTCCGTTAATGAACCTGATTGTTTTGGTCCCTTTGAAGCAAGAAATAGAAATGCTACTGGACTCCAGCAGGGGACTGTCTAGAGAAAATGTGCCTTTCAGCTGAACTGTGAATTGAATTCATGACCATAGAAATGTATTTTAGGTTAAATGGGTTAGGATATCTAGATGATGAAGACTGAGGCCTGTGTGTTTGTTAACAATAACGTGACCCTGGCAGTTGGTACTGGGACAATTAATAACCTATCTGTCCATCTGTTTCCACAAAGACTCTCTCTTCAGTGTATAAGTCCACCAGACGCATCGTTACTTGTTAATTTACCGGTGAAGTTTCTGACGTCGGGCATTTTGCTGAAAAAAGAATCGGACGACTGTATTCTGGTCACAAAGCCCCAACACAGCAGATCGGCCACTAACGACACCGGTCCTGAACTGTGAATTCCCCCCTAATCAAAAGGAATGGGAATCCTTTCTCTTTCTGTGTTTGGACAAACAAAGAAGCCGCACCTTTTCAAAGCGGCGCTCCCGTCTAATGCGGCAGACATATAGGTCACCGGCTATAATGCATCTGCCGTGAGGCCGGCATGAATGCAAAGTGAAAACAAAGACCCCCCTTATGGTCCGTGCCTCCCTGAACGCGGGATATCCCCCGCACACACACGTGTGAGCAACTGTCCCCGCTTTGTCATGGATCCGCAGCCCCCCGCAGTTGAACTGTGCTCTCGGTTTTACCCCCGTTTTTCTGGGACATGAGATTCCCTGATATTTTACCACTGCCTGTATGTTGTTCTCCAACTCCAGTTCTGCTATGCATGACTATGCTGCCTGATCATCGCCTGTGTTACATTCCCACTTAGGTTACTGCAGGTTTAGAGTACAAAGCCTCTTTTAAATGCCTCGCAACTATTCGGGGATATTCCGTGCGATGGGATGGCCAAACTCGGAGCGTTTAGTGTCTTCGGGAACTTCCAGGGAGAGCTTTTCCTACACCCATCGAGCAAAGTTCAAACATAAAGAATTGATGGGGAGCAACTGGAAATAAACGAGGGATATTTCAGGTTGTACTAAAGGGAATTATCTATTTCTGAAGCTGCCAAGTAGTTTGAAAAATGCCACAGTGATACACACGGCTGTCCTTACCAGCTGTAACTAAAGTATTTGGGCATGTTCTACTTAGCTTTATTTCTTAAATGTTGTTTCTTTTTTGCATTCCAGCAAATAGGGAAACCCCATGATATATTTTTAATCCAGTGCTAGATTTTTGATCAAGAACATCTGAATATATTCATAAAGGTTGCCTTGGGCTCAGTGTGCATGGTTGAAATGACCAGAGACTTTGGTTTTGCTGCATTTTGTCGCTGACTGTCCAGAGGAAACCTCTTTTTTCGCGGTGCTGCACAGACAACAATTCATCCAATATCTTTTTAAAAGATTCTGAGAAATGCCTAAGTTTGCCAACATCAGCTATAACTGAGTAGATGTGCAGTAAAGTAAAAAAAACAACAGTTTCTCTTTCATATTGATCCAGGTGATGACATCCATCCCTATAGTCACAGATCTGGTGGCAGCTCAGCGGCTCTCAGGTCTGACACACAACTCAGACGACTTGAAGTGAAAACTGAGGAAAAAGACAGAAAACAAAAGCAACAAAACACCGGGTTTCCTTTTTTTTCCTCGCACGGCGCGCAGGCTGCCGTCACATGAGATGTTCCACCAAAGCAAGTGAGGAAAGAAAGAAAAGCTGAGGAAATCTGACTCCTGGCAGTCTCTGGAAGGATGCTGCTTCCTGACGGACATGTGAGGGAAGCTTAAAATCCCATTAGAGCTGATCAAAATTCAAAGGCAAGCATGCATAGCCTGCCCTCTGCCGAAAATCTATTCCTGTCAGCACTGAGTAGATAGCCAGAGATGGGCTAAATTGAGACGGTCTATTTTGGTAGCAGGGGAGTCAAGGGAAGGAAAGAAAACATCGGTGGAGGGAGGGGGTTAGGGATAAGGGATGAGATGTGGGATGAGGAGGAAAGTAGCCGAAAACTTGCTTCCTTTTGCAGACAGCGGGGTCTCCAATAAATTATATGTTTGTCATCCAGGAAAATTCCAGTACATACACTCATCCTTTTCTGGGGCACTGAGCCATGGAAGAAACTGAATCTTTCCATGTGGGTGGACGACACCGGCCTTTGTGATTCGGCCTCGTTAATCGATCATGAGGGTTTTTGGAATGCAAGAGGTCTCTCTGTTACAGGGCAGCGCTCCCTTTCTCCCTCTCTCTGACACACACACTCACACACACACACACAAACAAACATGTCCGCGAGCACAGTTTTCTGAGCCACTGCTCAAACTGAATGAAACAAATTCTTAAAAACCAGCACAGTAGGACCAGTCAGCCATAATGGAGAAACATTTAACAAAGACCAGCTCTGAAAAGATCCACGGGACACAAAACTGTGTCTTCTCACTTGCTCGCCGTGGGGGTGGCAGGTGTTTGCGTGTTCGGAGGGGCTCGGGGGCTTCGGGACACCTCCCTGTCCTCCCTCTCGTCTCATGTTTGCTGCTGTTTTCTCACACCTACCGGGACCAAAGAGATTCGCCAAGAAAGATGAAACTGCCACTTTTTAAGCCCTCTACATTCTAGGAGGTCCTCCCCAGTCCTTAGGCCACTGTGGTCAGTTCATTCCTCATTCCCTTTATTAACACTCAACTCCAGAGGCTCAGCTCAGCCCCTCAGAGAAAGTGTTTCTCTCTCAAATTGAAGACAAGGCCTTGCTTGTATGAAAAAAAACACACACAAAGAGGTTAAAGCCAGGAAGTCAAGTCAATATTCATCCATAAAGTTAATTACATTTGACTTGGCAAACAAGCCGAAGCGCACACCCCCGTCCTTAAACTCCGGCCTGTTTGCATTCACATGGTGAAGTAGGGCTCAAACAAAATAAGGGTGGTTGCCACGGTAAAAGCAGAGGGTGGACTCAGACTTCCAGATGGAAAAACACAATTTTGCTCTCTGATGTGATGCAAAAAAAAGAAGAAATTGCCAAATTCTCCAGCATATCCAGTGTCATTAAAAGTATTATATCATAACGGTTTAATCGATGTTGAGTTTTAACCAGATCATGTCTGATTTTGTGCTGAGCTGTCATTTGGGGGGCCACAGGGCTCCATCTTGGGGTCTGTGCTTATCCTGCTGTCTATACTCCCTTCAGTTAACAAGTGTTTTACCATGTATATGCCAGTGATTTCTAGCTGTGCTATAAATTTAAAGTCACAGAGTTCTACAGAGTGACTTCTTTATTTGGCAGATTCAGCCAAATAAAGTCTTCCTGTTTAGATTGCTGCAACAGCCTTTTTGCTTGTTTTAATAAGAAAGACCTTGACCGTCTCCACACTGCACAGACTGCAGCTGCAAAGCTTTCAACGCGTTCTCATAAAAGAGATCCCCTCATTCCAATCTTAGCGGACCTGCATCGGCTTCCAGTCCAGTTCATTTTAACCCTTTAATGCCATATTTGTTTGATTCAGCTAAAGATGGCTACCGATAGCTTGATGCAGAAAAAAACATTTAAAAGGGATACAATGTGGCTGCTTCCAAATCAACACTTCATTTAGCAGACACTAATGTTTGGGAACAAAACTCCAAGCTCAATATACTGATTCTTTCACTTGAAAAAGGAGCAGGCTAGGTTTATCGTGGAGCTAATGTGGCAATGCGACTCAGCAAGGCGTAAACTGACGAATGGAACAAGGAGTGGCCCTGCTGGGGCGCTGCGCATGGTTTTCATCTCCACATGCACACACTGATTGGGTCTCAGCAGACCTTTCGGGCTCAGCTGCACTTAAGCTTGCATGGACCGACAAAAATTGGTCTCCATTGGTCTCCATTTTGGATGTTTCAGTTTTCCTGTAAGGTCTCTTTTGAAAATGAGCCTTTCATCTTCTCCTTGTCCTCTTCATATTTTTTTGTAAGTCGAGAGATTACATCTCCGGGAAATGTAAACACTTCTGGGATCTCTTCTGAGACTGTTGTCATCACCACCTGCTGGGGTGTCGAAAAAAAAAAAAACCCGGCTGAAAAAGCCCAACGAGACACCAGAGACATACACTTATGCTATGTGTCAGCTTCATGAGAGGATCCCCACTACTCTCATATCTGACTATTAAATATTAAGCCGCGGCCCGCTTAGAAAAACGGAAATGGTGTGAAGCAGCCGGCCCGACTCTCCTCTAAGACATCCGAATCCAGCCAGCGGCACCGAAAAAGCTCCCTAACAAACATGTCACATCGTGTTAGAACAACCCGGCCAAGGAAACCACATAGCAAATAATAAGCAGCAATAGCTAATTAAGGCATTTTTAGTTTTTAATGCAAGTCACAATGACTGAAAAGCAAGTTTTAGTCTGAGATTTGAAAAAAATACATGTCAGAGAGGATCTCTTTCTGGGTTTAAGACTGTATCCCCGCCTTCTACTCCTCTACTCCTATTTTTATGTGCTGGGTCAGCCCACGGTGCACCACCCCGGTGCTCAGGTTCAAGTTCCACACTTATTGACATGCTTTTTGGGGACTTGCAAGAATAAAAAAGCAGCAATCTGCACTTCTTTTACATCTGTAGACCTGCTCCTGTGAATATGTTCGACCCTCAAATTTCAAACGCAGCGCAGCAGCCACCTACAACCCCATACATTTGTTTTACTTTCACCGAAACAAAACGAGAAGTGGTTTAAAAGAGCACACTTCATGCGCATTGTGGCTTTTCACTCGCTTAAAAAAAAAAGTTAACTTGCATATCCACTCAGCCAGAGCTGGAAGCCCTGTCATGCCTGAACCCTCTTAGTCTAGTGAGTCACACTTGGATTACAGAAACACCCTGATGGTCTGAGTCATCATATTAAGTTTGAGGCTAAAGGAGCGAATTGTTTTTATGATATTATGGTGTTTGTAAAACAGACACAAATATAAACTCTTAAATCTTATGCTGGGAAAACAAAGCAACACATCACTCTTTTTTCCTTTCCGTTACAATTCCTTGTTGATTTGCTTCCCAATACAAGACGTCTGCTGTCCAATGGTCAGTGAATGCACCACTGCACACTCATCATAAATCTGATCAGACAGCAGCACATTGCATTTATGGCCTGTTACTGAAAAGGTGTTTTCTGTCTCCCATCATATCACCAAAGGAGTAGTTTCATTAGTGGTCATCTCGGCATCAGTTCTGGTTGAAAGCATCGTTTTCTGAAGCCCTGGTCATGGAGCTTTAACTTTAACTGTGCATAACGAGATTTTATGCTCATCTTACCCTGATCCTCCTCATAGCTGCCACGATCTCCATCCGACTGTTGGGTC